CTTCCTTCCTTCCTTCCTTCCTTCCTTCCTTCCTTCATTAATAATTTAATGCAGATGGGCTAAGAGGTTTAGTAGCTTCTTTGTAAACGTATAAAAGAAAGTTTAACTTCACATTGTAAATTTATTAAATACAGTGCAAGAGCTCAAATAAATTAATTTTACTGTGTTAATATTGACTTTATTTTTAATAATGAATAAAACTGAGTTTATGCTTATAATTTTAGGCTTGTGATTCTATTTTCTGAATATTATGACTTTTCAAAGAAAGTATGGCCCCAAGACTCTGTTGGAAACATAAAGCAAAGGCGGCAGCTGAAATCTGAGTCAGTACAAATACATTTCAGCCAGTTCAGTCTAAAACAATGCTCTAAACCAAGGTGAAAAAACATTTATATATCAATAATATTTCACGATGGGTGAAAGCAAATAATCCATCTCCATTTTTCTTGAGAATAGTCTGTTAACCATCCACCAGAAGGATGGAGATGAAACGAGGGTGGACATTTTAGCCAGAAGATTCTCCCAAATACAGAGCTGAGAAACTCAACTGGCCTCAGAGAATGAAAAGAAAAGGTGCAGCAGTCAGCTGACTGGATTACAGTCCAGTCAGACGCCCACCAAACCCTTAAGATCAGCTGGAGTGAAGGAATAGGACAAAATCCAGAACAAGTTTCTCCATACAGGAGGCTTTTGAGCAAACCACCAGTAAGTCTGTTCACTAAGCATCTTTGTTAAACATTATTACACATAATTTCATTTCTGAGCTTTTTTGCTTCGGGTTCTTTCTATGTATGAGTCACATTCATCTTCAAAGATTAAAAAAATAATCTCACATCCATAACTACTCACCTGATGTTTAAAACCAAGAAGAATATTCAGTGGAGTGGACTCTGTTGTTCTGAGCCGTATGGTTAGATGAAACGGTGCAGTTTCTGTAGATGAGCAGAAGTATCAGCTGCAGGTAATGGAGCGTTGAGGATGTGGTCTTATTATACATTTATCAAATACTCCCCGCCCCCTAGCAAAGGTTACGTTTTCTAATTTAGGCATGAACAAGGGAAATACTCATCATTTGGTCTAGGAGGAGGTTCTTTTTGTTATACAACATATTCTCATTTGAATAAAAAAGTTGGGATGATAGATTTGCATTTCAGAGAAAATCAGACAAATATTGTCAGCAGCATCTTAGTGCAGATGCTGACAATTAACTGACATCTTTCAGTGCTTGACGTCTTCATACTTTGGGTATACAAAAAACAGCCTGAATGCTAAGAAGTAAGATCCCTTCAGTTTCCTTTTGTTACAATTTAGATTGAGTGAATTAACTCAAATTGTATAAGTGGACTTGCAGCAAGAAGGTTCCGGGTTTGATTCTCGCCCGGAGTCTTTCTGCATGGATATGGGAGAATTTCCACAGCTCTCGATGAAGATCTGATCAAAATGTTTTTGTTAAGATGTGAAAACACTGTTGGTATCTCAAACATTAAACTCAGAATCTCAGATGTAACGTTTGTTTGAGAAAACAGTTGAAAAGTGAGTTTGGGGTTGTTGTTATCATTAGAAAAATGAAAAAAGGGCGCATTTGCCAAACAAAGGCCCCGAGAAAATAATGAAAATGGGAGGAAATGTTTTAAAATGTCCATGTGTTAAATTTCATTCAGATAGTGTCATTTTAAAAGATTAGTTCTAAAATAAAAGCAGTTACAAGGTGTTATTGATTATTTA